GTACACCGGCGTCTGTTTCAGAAGTTGTACTTCATAATTAATTAGTAGCAGTAACTGATTTCACCTGATCAGGTAAGGCTGGATCTGTCCTTCGGCAACTTGACATTTAGTTCCGATCTGAACGTTTCAATGTATAATGTTTGATCTATATGAATAATATTTACGATTAAATTAAGTCTATTAAAAAAGAAACGGTTGTTTCGTAAAATAAATATCAGTTGTATAAATGTAATCCGAGTTAAAATTCCTGTGTTTTATCTATGCTTGTACTCCTATCCAAAGCATGTATTCATTTCTTATCCCTCCACATAAGGGTTCAACAGCAGAGCAGACCATACCATTTAACATTTGGTTGCAACTTGTCTAAGAGAAGGAATACTCTCTGTTTAAAAACATGAAGGACTTATAAGGAAGCTGATTAAATAACTTTCCCAAGAAATCGGGTGTGCGGTGTATGGATAGTGTCTCGCGATTTAGGAGAGCCATACTCGATTACGATTATGTTTAATTGCATTCACTCAGTCTTGGTAAGGTATAAATCTATCTAATCTCTCTCAGCTATGGGTTAAATAGTAGGATTTGTATCTGAACAAAAATCATTGCTATTCTCAAAAATATTAATATTCACACAAACATAAAAACAGAATTTGTCTACATTTCCGAGAAAAGTTATTGTAATTATTTACACTATTTACATGATTCAGACTGTTAGCTCATCTTTATCATATTCAGAACGTTTCGGACATTGTACGCTCCGGACGTCTTCAGGATCTGTCTATATTTCTGAGATGAGGTATTGTAACTATTTACAGTATTTACATCGTTCGAACAGTTGTCCACATCTTTATTAACATATTTCAATGTTTCGGCCGTTACACGCACCGGCTTTCTTCAGGTAATATACGCATGAACGTTGTTTGTTTTTGAATGCACACTGTAGTGGGGTCATTTGGCCACCGTTTGTGAGAAAAGGTGTAAATGACGCAACTCATTACGCTAGAGATTTGGAAGTGGCGTCCTGTACGACTTGGCATTCGCGCTGGAAGCTCCAGTACGAATATTTCAGTGCATTTGGGTATCAACCTGAGGACAGTGCAGAGAATTAGGAAATAGTTGTATTAGTCTAATGATGATTACGAATATGTTTGGAGCGATTCTTAGTGATGGCGACGTTATATCTCCATTCATCTTCTCACAGGGTCTCAATACGGACGACTACAACTAGTCCTTGAAAAGTCACAATTATAAAGGTATAGCTTCTCGGAAAACTTTCACACTCGACACGGGGGCCTAAGTCAAATGATTTGCGGAGGTAGTGGTTCCCTGGATCAAGAGGGTAGATGCTAGAAGACCTAATGCCAGGCAATAGGACTCTGCACCCTGCCACTCAAGCTAGAAAATCCAATCATGGTTGTCAGACAATTATTGCCACCACATCACACCTAAAACCTGTCACCTAATTACTCCGAATGCTCCCACCTCCATTATTACCGTGTGGGTTTTGTAAGGTCATCTTATAGGGAAGTCAATTCATGAGGCACTATTAAAGTTGTAATCGTGTTTGTTATGTTTAGCTCATTCTAATGCTCTCGGGAAAAGCATAATCCGTACTTTCATACTCTAAGTCATTTCAGGACGTGTGATACATTTTAACATATCTACCCTCGTCGATTTAATAGAAGCATAATTTCGTCATGCGCTAAACATTAAGCGGATCAACAAAAAACTAAAGAAGTCCGGGTGTAAATCATGTAAATATTTTGTAACATGATGGGTTTTATTCCCAATGGAAACATTTATTATCTGATACTGAAATATATATTTACCAATAAATATTATCAAGACCACACAGATGCATACACCCACGCACATTTGACTATGATTATCCTTCCACCATCTGCACTAGGATATCGAGCGAAACGGTTGGTTGGTTTCTTGCTCGCTTGCTTGGCTGATTGGTTCGTAGCTTGGTTGCTTGGTCTATTGCTTGTTTGTTTGTTTGGTTGGTTGCTTGGTCGGTTTCCTATTTGGTTGCTTGGTTGGTTAATTGTTTGTTTGTTTGGTTGTTTGGTAGTTTGGTTGGCTGGTTGGTTGGCTGGTTGGTTGGTCTGTTGGTTGGCTGGTCGGTTGGTTCTGTGAAACAGCATATGAATCTCTATTGGTTACTTAATGCCGAAATCTAAATATCTTGTATACGATTTTATTTTATTTATGCTGTTGATAATGGTTTAATGATAAAAGTCCTACTAATTAACACATAGGTGGGGGGAGAAATGGTAGATTCATAACTTTTCTAACGATATTTGCGCGTAAATAGAGATAAGAGACCTAACTGGAATTGAAACTTAGGTCTCCAGTTAACATTTTTAAGACATTATCCATTACACCACCCGCATATCCAAGCTTACAGCACCTGGTATTCCCAAGCGCTCATCCATCTAGGTACTGACCAGGCTCGATGTTACTTAACTGCAGTGATCGTAATGGAGACGGTGTTTAAACTAGCGAAATGGATCCGGACGAAGGAAGAAATGAATGGAAAATGAAAACCTAAGAAAGAAGAAATTTCGAACAGGAATTTAAGAGGAGGGCAGGAAAATCATGAACCGAATGAAAATAAAAAATAAGTAAAGAAAGAAAACTAAAGAAAGAAAAACAAAAACAAATAAAGAAAAAATAAAAAAATAAAAAGAAAATCATTTTAATGAAAGAAAAAGAAGAAAACAAAAAAGAAATAAATTTTAATGAAAAAAAAAAAGAATGCGAAAAGACGGATGAATAATAAAAAATAAATATTTTTTACTGCTTAACCCTGTGCCGGTTATTTATAGCCTGTAAATAATTTTTAAATTGTAAGATTTGTTTTTTTTTTTTAGATAATAATGATTCAGTGATAAAAGTATTAATAAATAACCCATAGCTGGAGGAGAAGTCGTGGTTTCATACCTTTCCCAGGGGTATTTGTGCGTAAGTGAATGTAACGAAATCAAATGGAATCGGAACTCAGCTCTCCTATTAACAATTCCGAGTCATTAGCTATTACACCACCCACACATCCTAGCTCAAAACTCCTGGTATTTTCAAGTAGTCACCCATCGAGGTACTGTGCAGGCTCAAGGTACATAGTGCAGAAATTAGCCGTAGTTGAAAACAGTCGGTAAACTAATTAGTTTTGGGGAAATGGATGGCATCGCGAGGAGTAAGAGGTAGATTAAATTTAGGGAAATTGCTAATATTACCATTACCCTTACTCATGTAACGACAGTTCGGGCGAGTGAGCGATATAGATAGAAATTACAGATTGAGTGATTTGCTTACCGTGGCTTGAAGGTTATTTAAAGCCTGAAAATATTTTAGGGGTTAATGATACTTTAGTGATACAAATCTTACTAATTAATCCCACAGGTGGGAGGAAGAGGTGGTGTCATCCCGTTTCTATTGGTATTTTGTGCGTAAATGAATATAATGAACCAAACTAGAATTGACTCTTCGATTAAAAATTCCGATCCAATTCACCACTCTCATATCTCAACTTAAAGTACCTGGTTTTCCCAAGGGGTCAGCCATCTAGTTACTGACCAGAGTCGACGTTGCTTAACTTTTGTGATAAGGTGAGAACCAGCACTTGGATGTGTCGTTTGGATTTATATATTTTATAAAGCATTGCTTTAATATATTATATGAAGAATTGCTTCTATATCAGGTAAAATTTGGTGTAGGTTTTGTATGTTCAAAAATATGGTAAGGTTAACTTGAGAGGTACAACTACAGACTCTGTGGCGTATTATCAAGGAGAGAGTTACACATGAATGATACAAAAATACCCATCAGTTGAAAGACGCCGTTCGGAGAGCCTTTGAACAATCAACAAAGCACAGCTTTGTAAAATATCACACAGGACATATCATTTGGTAGCACGAAAATGATGACATTCATACAGACCTTCTCGATGTGTGACAGCGTCAATGAAAGTAAATAAACTGAATCCAGTACCATGTACTTTGTATTACTGTATTACTTTTTCTATTGTTCTCATTACTTTTTGGAAGGAGGTGACAAGACTTTCGAAACATCCCGTAGTATGAGATACAGAATAAATTATACTGTTGCCTTGAAAATGCAAATTCAGACTTAGGCTAGAATAAATGATATCTGGCAAATAGATAATTACTTAAGTCTCGGTGTGACACAGTTTATTATTATTATTTTATGCCCTCAGAGCAACTGTTCAATGCATTTCGCCTCTTCTGTGTATAATATATATGACTATAGAAAAAAATGAAATATATTTTTCAGCTTTAGCATTGAAAAATTATTGTATGCTTTCTGTATAATTCGACCTTGGACTGTGAGGTTAATTCAAAGTTAGCAGAAAACCATATTTTAATTTATTTTATATTTCATTTTTTTTTTTTTTTTTTTGCAATGAGCAGATTTTTTTTTATGGCTGATGAATAACATTTCTAGAAACTCGCCAACAACATTCTATAATACGATGTTAGAAAAACCTGAAGCCTTGAATGCCAAAGGTAAAAATGTTTGCATTGCAAATAAAGTTATATACACTGGTATGAAGAAAAATTCGGTAAATATATTTATCGTTTCTATTAATTCCAGTTATCCAGAATAACATATGTAAATACAGTCATTAACGAAAGTTTAAGACTGCTTAGCTCTTCAAGGTTATTTTCGTATTTTTGTTTGCAGTTTTTCTTGTCGGTTATTAAATTGCACGATACAATGGATTATTATTATTGTATCTGGCATTATTCACATATAATTTATAGGAACAAATTGTCATCGCCAAATTAGCAGACATTGTGTTCGTTTTTGTGTTGTAAATGAGGCACAAAAGGCAAAGACCCAAATTATAGTTCTACGCGAAGAAAACTATTAATAAGTTGTAGAAAAAACAATTAAGAACACAGATATCGTGTATTTCTAAAATTCATGTATATTTAACGACAGAGTACGTCCAAGAAAATGCAGTGTTGAGATGACCATTGATGAAGTGAATTGCTCCACGATCCTAAACGATTTATCAGTAAAAGATACGTCCTCGTCTGCTTCAGAATCATACAAATGATAAGAGTCTGACAGATTTATTTTGTCTAAGATTTGTGTTTGGGCTCACTGGCTCGTCAAATACGGATAACTGCAGCTATGAAATCTATGCGGCTGGAATTTGCTCAGCAACATTGAAGCTGAAGAGTTAAAGACTGGAGAAAAAAGATCGAGGTCAATTTACTATGCAACAGTTAGTTATGCATAATATATATATATGCATATATAATATATATACATGCATACATATATATATATATATATATAAATATATATATATATATATATATATATATATATATATATATATATATATATATATATATATATATATATATATATATATATATATGAAGTAATATAGTTATAAGGTGTGATATATTTATGGAATAAAGTGCTCAATATCGGACACAGAGCGTATGTAAATATAAAAATAAAAGTGAATATTGAAGTCAACACTCAGAGACGACAGGCTGTTTCCTGCTAGACGCAATCGACAGGCCACAAGTGTTGGATTTTTCTCGACTATTTATATATATGGGTCAGTGGTGCATTGTGGCTAATCCATTCTGGCGGTTATTTTGGAGGAAGTGGTTTGTTTATTTATTTGGGTTAATTTATTTTACTTTATTTTTTCTTTTCCTTTTTCATTTATTTATTCTTTTCGGTTTTCTATTTGTTTATTAATTTGGTCGGGATTTAGCTTAGGTCGCTTATTATACATATTTATGTTTATTTTTATTAGTTCTAACGGTTATGTTAGCAGGAGCAATTCGTAATTCGTTCATTTATTTATTTTGGATTAATGTTTACTTTAAACTATCGAAGCACCAGAGGAGGCTATTAAAATATTCTGGACAAAAGATATCTCGTTGAATACTGTAACAAATTTATTCATATCTTGCCCTTGTCGCATCCATGCAATAAGCAAAGTAAAGACTGGTCTGTCATAATTTACTTATTACAGCGTTGTTTTTAATTTTAACATAATGAAATTACAAGTTAGCCTTAAACATTTGTTAAGAATTATAATAATTTAATTTTTATGAGAATTACACCCAGCAGCGAGGACTCTGATAGGCAGGTTTTGAAAAGCGTCTCCTAATTACTGCTGTTCTCAGCTCCACCGTGACCCGGAGTGGTAGCACATGTTACTGTCCCAGTTATGGACAAATAGTTACCCCTTATACAAAAAACAAACACTATAAAGTATTACAATACATTTTTATAGTAAATATACCAGCAATACTTTATTATATAAAAATTAACAGTACATATATATAGTAGAATTACCAACAATGCATTTTATCTGTAGTTGAATCCATAAATTTATGTTCAAAATATAGAGATTTTAGCATTAAATAACCCATAGAGGTAGATATGCCGCTAAACAAAATCAACCAACCATTTTTACGGATTTCTACGCTAGTTTCCCATTGTTCATCTTATAATATATATATATATATATATATATATATATATATATATATATATATAACTTATAAATAAATAAAAAGCATTACTGAAACATGAAGATCTTATAAGAGGTATCGAATGAAGAAATACCTTGCACATCTTAAACTGTCGCCTATCATCAAATGGCATTGGTGTCTTCATCGAGATAATTCCATTTTTATTAGATAGCAACATAGCTTGAACCGGTTCACACCGTGCATTTGTTGTTCAAACGTTTTTTTTTTTAAAGAGTGGTGAATCTGTAGTTGCAGCAGAGACAGCTTTTTGTTCTCATTTGATGTTACATCGGAATCTTAAATTACGGAAGCACCCAAGCAGACTATTAAAGAAATCTACACAAAAGAAATCACAATTGACTGCTGTAACAACTTGATTCACAACAAGCCCTCGACGCATCCAAGCAATAATCCGCAAAGGATGTCATACAAAATACTGAATGTTGGCCTATTATCAATATGAATAGTTCTTTTTTTTTTCTAACCTTCCTATTTTATGATGTGTGGAATGCTAACGTCGTGATTAAAATCATTATTTTCATTTCAAGTTACATACGCTAACAATTTTAATTGATACTGCTGCTAGTAATCCTTAAATTATGTAATTTCTGTTATTTGGTACAGTTCTTTGTTCGTGATTCTGTAGTGCCAATCCTCAATGTTCAATGCAGGATGATTATTGACAAGACCCCCAGATTTTACACGCTCAGACCATTTTTCCCCATTGGCGTTAGGACGTTTCGGAAAGAGGTTGGCATCATGCATGACATCTATATGGAAGTTTCGATTTGACAAGTCAGTTTGAAGACATGACTCGAGTTTTCAGGCTAATGTTTTGGTTTTGGTATAATTTGCAGTGTTGGGCGAACGTAACTCTGGCTCAAAATAAACTTTGTTCAATGCCATTTTCTCCTATACTGAATTTGTTATAACCGACCCATACGCTGAGGTATCTGAATTATTT